GGCAAGGTGAGAGTTGTGGTTATGGGTTATATATTGTGGATTTAAGGTGCCTCCTAGTAACACTGTTATTTGTATATCATTACTTTCATTACCGTTAGTATCTTCAGAATTGTCACATCATTATCGTTATTACTGTTATCATTATCATTACCATTATATATTATTGGTATTATTATCATTATTATGATTATTTTTCTTATCATTACCAGTAGAAGTGGTGGTAGTAGCAGTAATACTATTATCATTATCATTATTGATATTCTTAAAAAATGATTATTATTTTTTCATTGCTTCTACTACTACTGTTACTACTGCTGCTACTATCATCATCATCATCATCATATCATTATCATTACTATCACTATTATTATTATCATTATTATTTCCATCATCATCATCTTTATCATCATTATCATATTATCATTATTTTTATTATTATTATAATAATAATCATTATTATTATCATTATTTTTATTATTAACATAATTATCATTATTATGTCACAGCATTCCCATCTTTACTTTTCTTTATATTATTGTTATCTTTATTAATGATCTTTATTACTATTACTATCATTTACATTGTCATTATTGTTATTATCATTATCATTGTTATTATTATCATTATTATTATCATTACTTTCGTTATTACCATTATTTTTTATTGTTATCATTGTTATTATTATTATTGTTATTGGTATAATCTTTATCATTCTCATTATTGTTATCGCTATTATTATAATTATTGTTATCATTTTTAGTAATATTACTATCATCATTATTATCATCACTATCATTATTATTACCATCATTATTATTATTACTGTTATCATTCTTATTCTCGTTGCTACTACTAATAATGTAATCATTATTATTATTAGAATCTTTGGCATAATCATCATCATAGTCATCGCTATTATTGTCATTCTTATTATTATCACCATTATTACTATTGATATTTTATTATTATCACTATTATCATTATTAGTGTAATTATCCTTTTAATCATCCCTATTAGTACTATTAGTACTCATTATTATTATTATCATTTCTATCATTATTGTTACTATTAGTAGTAGTAGTAGTAGTATCATCACTATGATTATCAATATCATTATCATTATGATTATTATTGTTGTTGTTGCTATTAGTAAAATTATCATTAGCCTGATTATCAGTATTTTTATAACTAGTCATTAGGATTATTATTGTCATTATTTGCTGATTTGGTTGGTATGATTATTATTGTCATTATTATTAATACTATTATTATTATTATATAAATGATAATAGTTATCATCATCATTATACATCATTACTTGTTATCAATGTCTTATTATTACTATGATAATGAATAAATATATATCCATCTGTCTATCTATCTATCTATCTATCTATATATGTATATATGTATATATATATATATATATATATATATATATATAATATATATTATATATAATATATATATATATATATATATATATATATATATATATATATAATTATATATATATATAGAGAGAGAGAGAGAGAGAGAGAGAGAGAGAGAGAGAGAGAGAGAGAGAGAGAGAGAGAGAGAGAGATGTAGATAGATAGATAGATAGATAGATAGATAGATACAGATATACACAACACACACACACACACACACACACACACACACACACACACACACACACACCACACACACACACACACACATATATATATATATATATATATATATATATATATATATATATATATATAGAGAGAGAGAGAGAGAGAGAGAGAGAGAGAGAGAGAGAGAGAGAGAGAGAGATTACGCTAGTTTTATGCCCACCATTGCTACTAAAATGTAAGACGATCAAAATACGGAGAAAGCTACTAACTCCCGCGCGTCAGAAGGAAGACTCCCATCCCGTTCATCGCGCGTCGCGGCGCTGCATAAGATATGAACATCATGCAATCAACATAATTACGTGCACGTTATAATCACGTTTCCCCCCCCCCTCTCCTCTCCCCCTTCCCTCTCCATCCCTAGGCCATCTCTTTCCTCTTCTTCCCTCTTTTCCTTTCCTTTCTCCCTTCTCTTCCCTCTCTCCCCATCTCCCCTCCCTTTCAACTTATCTTCTGACATTCTGTCCCTCCCCTCCCTTCTCCCTCCCTGCCCTGTCTTCCCCCTCCTCTCCTTCTCTCCCCTCCCCTCCTCTCCTATCCATCACCCTTCTTTTCCCCTCCCTCCCCTCTCCCTTCCTTTCCCCTTTCCTCTCTTCCCCTCCCTCCCTTCCCTCCCCTCCATCACCCTTCTTTTCCCCTCCCTCCCCTCCTCTCCCTTCCTTGCCTCCCCTCCCCTCCCCTCCTCCCCCTCCCCTCCCCTCCCCTCCCCTCCCTTCCTCTCCCTTCCCATTCCCTCCCCTCTCGCCCCCCTTCTCATGCTTGGGTGTCGATTAGCGTTGTACACACGAGTCGAAAAACATCAGCTATCACTTAAACAATGAATATCTGAGAGGAATCTTGAGCCTTCGAGATGTAAACAAACGGGAGATAAGATGCTGGGCGTAAGAGGCAGATTGGTGGAGTGTGTGTGTGGAGTATATCGGGGGATGAGGTTATTGTGATGGTTGTATACTTTCTATTTTGGGATATGCTCTTCTGTTGTGTGTGTTTTTTGTTTTTCTCTCTCACTTTTTTTCATTCTCGTGAGCTGTGTTATATTTTTTTTTTCTCTCTCTTCTTTCTATATGTTTGCTTGTTTGCCTGACTATCTGTCCCAATCTGCCTCTCTCTCTGTTTATCGATCTATTTATCTGTCTATCTCTTTTTCTGTCTCTCTATCTATCTCCTCCCTCCTCTCTCCCTCTATCTGTCTCCTCTCTGTTTCTCTCTATACATATCTCTTTATCTCTCTATCTCATCTTTCTCTCTCTATCTATCTCTCTATCTGTCTTTATCTATCCATTTTATTACTCCATAATCTTACATTTGATCTCCTCTCTCCTCCTCCTCATTCTCATCTTTTCTCTGTTTACCATATTTCTGTCTCTTCCATTTTTTCTCCTAATTTTGATACTCCTCTTCTCAGAAAGATATGATTAGAATACAATGGGAAAACCAAATGAATAAATTCTTATCTAAAAATACGTAGATATTTTCGTAAATATTTTTTTTTTTTTTTTATGCCCGATTTCTGGTCCTCCTTTGAAGAACAGCGTCTTAGCATATGCTTTAATCATTTATGTTTAAGCATATGTGCATATGTGTATATATATGCATAGATGTGATTATTACATTACAGTGCATGTGTACCATGTATGCCTATGTTAATGTAACTTGTTTTACCTTAAGCCCTGTATGGCATGTCCGAGGGAGCATGACTCTAAAACTGGACAGTAGAATGCAGGGCCTGCAAGTAATGTTAACATAGCATAGATGGTACACATACACTGTATAATAATAATCACATCTATACAATATACATACATACGTATATATATATATATATATATATATATATATATATATATATATATATATATATATATATATATATATATATATATATATATATATATATATATATATATATATATATATATTATATATATATATATATATATATATATATATATATATATATATATATATATATTATACAGAGAGAGAGAGAGAGAGAGAGAGAGAGAGAGAGAGAGAGAAGAGAGAGAGAGAGAGAGAGAGAGAGAGAGAGAGAGAGAGACAGAGACAGAGACAGAGACAGAGACAGAGACAGAGACAGAGACAGAGACAGAGAGACAGAGACAGAGACAGAGACAGAGACAGCGACAGAGACAGAGACAGAGACAGAGAAGAGAAGAGAGAGAACATAGAGAAACAGAGAGAGAGAGACAGAGAGAGACAGAGAGACACAGAGACAATGAGACGGAGAGGCAGATATATATATATATATATATATAATATTAATATATACATATATATATATATATATATATATATATATATATATATATATAATATATATATATATATATATATATATGTATGTATGTATGTGTGTGTGTGTGTGCGTGTGTGTGTGATACTTACAATACTCTCTTCTCTAGGTATCTGTGCATTCCTCTTCCCCCTTGTATGATCATTTCCTTACCTATCCTCTTTTTTTCCCGTGTCTCCACACCCTTCTTTGTTCCCCCACTTCTTATCCTTTCCCTGTCCGTTTTTTTATTACTTTGTCTTACATTTAACATATCTTTGGTCTCTTCTCTTAAGCATCTTTCTCTTTTTCTTACTATCTTTTTTCCTCACGTTTACTCTCTCAATTTCCTTTCCCTTTATTTCTCTATACGTTTTTCTTTTCTTTTCAATCTCACTTTTACGACCACTGTTCTCCCCTCCCTCTCTCCTCCTTTCTTTCCCCGCCAAGCCGACTCTCTTTCTCTCTTTTTCTCTGACTCTCCTCCTCCTCCCTCTTTCATTTTCTCTCTATTATCTTTCAGTTCTCCGCTAATTTTTTCTCCCTCCTAGTCTCCCTTATACTCTCTCTCACTTCTTCTCCTTCACTGCCCTTCCCTCCAATGCAAAAAAATAGGCTGAAGAACGCGTTGAGACTCACTCCGTCGAGGCCAAAACCGCACTCCTTTCCCCGCCAGCCACTTCACCCTACAAGACAGAGCTCCCGGCCCCTTCAGCAGCCACCGAGGCGTCGTTGAGCAACATCCCCGGCAAGATAAGGGCTTCGGGCGTCTTCGAGAGTGTGGAAAGTCCCGATTGCTATAGGGAAGGCACGGAATTCGACTTCCCTCATACGCATGTGCAACGCGTATTGTCTGTCTCCCCTTGCTTTATTGATTTTTTAAACTTTTTTTGTTTCCTTCCGATATTTCTTAACGTCACTTAAAAGTAGATATTGATTTTATCGGGAGGTGGAGAAAAAGTGTGAGAGGCGGTGGGATATCATTGTTTTTATGTTTATTCTTTAAGGTGTCGAGATCTGTTCTTAGAATGGGATCGAAGTGGACG